CTCAGAAATACCTTTACAGTTTCCTGGACTCCTCTTCCTTCTATCCACCCGCAGGAAACAAAGCCTACTACCAGCCTTCTGTTCTTTAAAGCACAGTTACAAAACCAGTTGTCTACATCTAACCATCACCGAAACTATGTAAAGAAGGTATTGTGTACCTTTGCTCTGCTGACGAGGAAACACCGAGAGTAAACAGTGTATATACCACAGGGTCAGACTTCTAACACAAAAAGCACGCAGGGTGGTAGTATGGAAGTTCACTAGAATTGTTACATATTAATCTTCAGGGCTGGCCAGATGGCCCAGTGGTTGGGGCACAGGCTGCTCTTGGCAGACTCAATTCTCTGCACCGACATGGCAGCTCACAACCATCTATAATGATGCCTTCTTCTGGCTTCCCCGGGCATTGCATATGCCTGGTACACAGACATACATGCAGACAAAATACCCACATACAGGAAATAAATAAGTATATAAAATTGAAAGAATTGTTACACATTTATCTTGTATGGAGGGCAAGATTGCAATACTTTAGCTCTTTGTCAATTTCTAGGTTTTGCTCCATCATTCTGTGTAAATATTTGTGTGTAGTTTAAGCTGCACTAATCTAAAAAAAAAAAAAAAAAAAAAAAGCAAAAGTAGAAACCCCCCTCCCACAGGTTGATATGAGGGGATAGAGGCAGAGACGAGGGACACAGATGAGGGGATGTTGAGTCTGGGCACAGGAACAAGGGCATCTGTTGACTGACTTGTTCTAGCAGGAGGAAGAAGACAGCTTGTCAGCATCTGCAGACTCCCTCAGCAGGGCTGTTCCTCTGTGTAGCAGGAACAGAACTCCCTCAGAAGCTGGGGCAGGAAAGATGCAAACAGGTAGCCCTAGGGCGCTGACTTGGAGGCATGTTCACACCTAGACAGGGCACACTTGGAGAAGACTGCTCTTACCTAGAGTTCCCACAGTGTGGGTGGGATGGATCTGGTTTCACTTCAGGTTGGTGTCACTGAGGAAACAGGCTGTCAACTTTCCTTTGGGAGTTAGCTAATCTCATTGTCTCTCCATTAGGTGGAACCTTTCCAGAGAAGAATATTTGCTTACCCATGTCTGTATTCTTAGTGATTGACACCTAAGTCCTCATCAACTGACCTAGAACCTCTAACCATGCAAACTCTCTGGGCTTCTCTTTAAAGGTTCAGAGATGCAAGATTTGGGAGCAGTTATTAAATAAAGCTTGATCGCTAAGGAGAGCAACATGGCTAGAGAAGTTGGCTGATAGTCCCCTGGGGACTGATGAGGCCATCTGGGTGTTGCAATAGATCCGGGAGTGCTCTGCTCTTCCCGCAAATGTTGCTGAAGTTGGCTCATTTGCCTTTGCCAATGAGCTATTGTGTAAAATAGCCCGACCACAGTGTAAAACCTCTAGGAGTCTAGTCTCTTTAAAAAAAGCGCACCCCTTTAATCCCAGCACTGGGGAGGCAGAGGCAGGTGGCTCTCTGTAAGCCTGGTCTAGAGAGCGAGTTCTAGGACAGCCAGGGCAACACAGAGAGACCCTGCCTCAAACAACCAATCAAACAAACGAACAAAGAGAAGCTGCCCAGAATGTGCACATCCTGAGGGAGACACTTTCAGTGGAAAGGCCCTGCAGCTTGACCCCTGAGCTTGGGGACCTAGAAAGGACAAGCCTCCACACTTCAGCTTTGTTGAGGCACAGCCCTGCTTGGAGTTCTGCTTTGTCCTCATCCCTTTCCCTTCCCCCTGCACTCCTAACCCAACTGTGAGCTGCAAGGGAATGAGGCTGGGGTTGGGATTAGAAGACTCAGCAAGCTGTTGTGGCCTGCCTTCCCTCTGCATTGGTGACTTGAGGGTCCTCGAGTCTCTGGAAAGGAAGGCACAAGCGCACTTCTGACCACAAGCACACTTTCCTGCCCACGTGACCAATGCAAACTTTGTTCTGCCGAATGCACAAATGTAAAGTGTTTCTGAAGTACAGAGAGGCAAGAGCACTGAGGACCTTCAGGGTGAGTAAGACCTCTGCTGGTATCCAACTGGGCACAGAAATGCTCGGTGTGCAGACACACTGTGTGTGGTGGGGCCTACTTTAAATGAATCCCACATCACTTTTTTTTTTTGTTTGTTTGTTTTTTTTTGTTTTTCGAGACAGGGTTTCTCTGTGTAGCTTTGCGCCTTTCCTGGAACTCACTTGGTAGCCCAGGCTGGCCTTGAACTCACAGAGATCCGCCTGGCTCTGCCTCCCGAGTGCTGGGATTAAAGGCGTGCGCCACCACCGCCCGGCTCCACATCACTTTTTAAACAGATGTGGAAGAGCCGAGTTCCAGAGTCATCAATCACCCATTTGTTAGAAGGGAACAGCCAAGTTCATTGCAAAACCCGATGGCCTCATCAGTCGCCAGGGGAAGTGTCAGCCAACTCCTCTAGCCAGTGAGGCCCTTTTCTGGTAAACAGCGACAAGGTAGACAATTCACCCTAACCCACAGCACACACAGACACAAAATCTACTCATCTCACACAGCACCTTGCCCAAACAGAGCAGCCTCTTTTTTTTTTAGGGCTACGTAAGAGTGCGGCGGAGCAGTCAAAGACTCACAGGAGTCAAGCCCCTCTCTGAAGTCACTGGCCCTTCACCTGGCACTCAGAGGGTTTAGAACCTGCTCAACTCCCTGACGAGAAAAGCCAGGACTTCTTTTTTTTCTTCCAAGTTGGCACATATTGAAACAGAAATGGGTATTTTTTAAAAGTTTTGTATTTTATTAAGACTCAAAGAATTATAGTCTATGAATGATGAACAGTGTGTGTGTGTGTGTGTGTGTGTGTGTGTGTGTGTGTGTGTGTGTCTCGCTACGGCTCAAACCCAGGGCCTCACACATGCTATGTAGACTACCACTGAGCAACATCCCTGGGCCTGAATATTATATCTTTGTCGGTAATTTTAATTTATATGTAACAAATGGCAATTTTAAAAAGTCTTCATTTAAAAAGACAATGTTTTAACCAACCAGACAGGGGTTGTGCAAGCCTTTAATCCCAGAACTCAGAAGGCAGAGGCAGATGGATCTCTGTGAGTGAGGCCAGGTTGGTGTATAGAGCTAGTTCCAGGACAGGTTCCTAAGTTTTAACCTCCCAAAAGCATTCCCCTTTCCTGGAATTTTTGTCTGTTCCTTCTCCAAGCCAGTAGCATCCATGGACACATGAGGCATGAAATTCTCCTTCCAAGAATTCTAGTGTTGGGTCATTTTCCCCTTTATATAGAGTGTATGTTTGATTCTGTCCTTAGCACTCACTGTAGAACCAAGTGTGGAAGGCATGGGTGAACTGTGTAAATTCCTTTACAATGCTAACTTAACACTTAATCAGTGGCAGAAGTAGCAGCTGAAAGAGAAAAGCTCACAGGACTAGAGCTTGAGGAAGTCGGGACACAAGTGGTTGAGGGAGAACATGAACAAAGTCCTCACAACTTCCCTGAATCTCCAAACAAGACACAAATTCAACATTCACTTCCCAGCATACTGGGCTTTGGCCTAGTCCTGGCTTCCAGTTATTCTCAGAATAACTGTTTATGGAGATTGTTCTCTGCTCAAACATAGATACAACGGAAAATCTCAAGCGATGTTTCTCCAGCCTTCATCAGTACACTTTGTAATCCGTAATTGGAGGCTGCAATAATGCTTCCAGCGGACAGCTCCACAGACGGTCCACGGGATGCAGAGAGAACAAGGATGAGAGAGCCTCATGCAGAGCTCTGCATCCCTACGAAGCTGAGGCACTGCTGCTTCACTGATGACTCTTTCGGACCTGGTCTCTGACCCTGGCCATAGCTCGTCCACTTTTTCTAAACACCTCCTGCTAGACCACAGTTCGACCGACTCCACATTATCCGAACTGTGTTACTGATATCCCACCACTCCATGAAATCAAGATGAGAACAGGGGGGGCAGCCTGTGACAATCTCTCGACCTTCATTTTACAGGTGAGGAAATTGAAGAACAAAGAAAGGAACATTAATTGACCGAGGAACATTTGACATTCCTGTGACCATAAGCTTCCTAATGCACGACACGACTTTTATATCCCATTGGAATGATTTCTAGAGAAATCAAAACTAATTTTTAAAGTAGTACTGAAAACTATTTAAAGGAAACCAACACTGATTATTTCCATAAATCTCCCAAACAGTTGACTTCCCCTTTTATCAGCGAAGAGTTTCTTGCATTAAAGCCGCTGTGACTAGCAAACCGGCTCAGCGCTGAGTGGTGCCCCTGCTCTTTGAATAGCTGAGGCTGCTCTCGGGAGTGGGCCAGGGGCTGTTTGGATAGATACACTACTGAGGTTTTCAGCGATCGCATGTGTGAACTAACTGTAAAGATTACTGCCGTCACAGAGGGAAGATCCTGGCCCCCTGGAGATGTCCCAGTATAAGGCCATGGTTCCTACTGTTCTTCCTGAACAAACAAGTTCCATCATTTGCACTGCCACGGTTTGGTGTGCTGTCTCAGAGCAAGAGAATCCCAACCGCCCACTAAGAAGGCATGGAGGAGGTTGTTGACGCTTGTCTCCCAAAATTTCACAACACACTTAAGGGTGAGTTAAGGGCGGGAGACAGGAAATAGAAAACGAAAACACCCGTTAAAAGTTACGCGTGCACAAACAACCTTCCCAGGACTTTTTCACAAATCTGATACCAACCTAGGAACCCTCAGCTCTTCCTTATCTGAGCAAACGCGGGCGGGGTTCCAGGAACTCCTCCCTTCGCAGACTTTATGGTCCCCTCCGAGCCTGGGCTCTAGACAATGGCCATCCACGCTGGACTCTGCCAAGCTGTGGAAAGGGAACTCTGGAAAGGGTATCGCCAACTCTGGCAAGAGTTGATCCCAGCCACACCTCACTCAGCTCCGCAATCAGACTCGAGACGTCGTCTCCCAGGAGCCCCACAACCGCCCTCGGTTGGAAGGGACTTCCAAACTGTGGCGGAGCAGGAGGAGAGACCCACCTGGCGCGCAACTGGAGGCGGCGGCTCTGTTTCTCACCCTTGTTGTTTTCCTAGTGGGATGCCGAAGAGTAGAAACGAAATTTCCTTCGGAATCTCGTCCGGGATATGGGTGAGGTCGGCGTTGCCTGGCCACGCAGACAGATTGGGGCGGGGTGCAGAGGAGCGGAGGGCGGGCGTTCCAGCCTCGGCGGCTGGGACCGACCGCACCCCATTTCTCCAAGGATGCCCCTCCCCGCTGGGCCCTGCTTGCAGAACCCAAAGAAGTGACCCCAGCCTCCAAGCAGGGAACCAGTGTGGGGTTCTGCGCAGAAACCAGACTGGCAGATGTCCCGAGGACCACCACGAGGAATACAAGCCACTGATGCTACAGAGACCCTGGGGGACTCTGGGAGGTTCTCTGGGGAGCTCTAAGAACCCAGAAATTTGGTGTTTTGTGCAGTCCTGTGGTGCTGTCCCCTTTCACAGGATAGTTACAGCACGAGAAAGTTTGTAGAGAAGTATTTCCAGTTACTAAAGAAAGGAAGTGTAAAACTACAGGGCTCGTCCGGGATTTGAACCCGGGACCTCTCGCACCCAAAGCGAGAATCATACCCCTAGACCAACGAGCCGTGATATTGTGATATTATTTGCAATCCCTCAGTCTACGCTAAACATTTTGGCGCTGGGCAGCTGTCAGGTCTAGGCTGCAGTTTCTTTTCTCTCTTTTCTCCTCACAGGGGCATTCTCTTTCGTATTATTTCACTATCACCTCATCTTTGTCAATTCCCATCCATTAATTCTGGGCCTGTGCCCTCTTAGTTTCTATCCACATGCCGGACAACTCTAGGCTCAGAATGGGATCAGAGGAGGTAGCTTTTCAGATTTCAAGTCACACGCCCGTTTATTCCAGGAGCCAGAGGCGAGCCGGGTTGGCGCTGCCCGCTCCGGGTGGAGCTCGGCTGCAGAACAGTGGAGTCAGGAGCCTCCGACAGGCGCAGGACGCGTTCCGCGCACTTGCAAACCACCCCTGCAGCCACACAACACTGGGGGCAGGAGGAGGCTGCGGGTGGCCAGCTAGGCTGGAGGAGAATCCGTTTGCTCAGGCTCTGACAGTCTGCAGACCCCCCCACCCCCGCACCCCGCAGTCTTCCTGATTAGGAATTGCGTTTCCAACCTCACTTCCTTTGTTTAAAGAGTTGGACCCATCTGAACTTTGTACTCTTGCAGTCTCATGTCCAACTCACGTCAAAAGCTACACAAACACCTAAATGAATAAAGTGCCTCTTTGCCAGTTAGTGGGGCAATCACCGGGGTCAGTTATGGTTTTTTTGTTTGTTTGTTTGTTTGTTTGTTTCTCCCCCCGCAAACCAGAGTCCCGCGGGCCATCAGAGGACTGAGAACATGCACACAAGCATGTTCACAAGGTTCTGTTACCTTGTGGTCTTTGGTGTCTGGGCTTAGGACATAGGGCAGCAGGCTAGGCTCAGTTAGAAACTAAAAGTAAACAATGAGGAGAGGGCCAGGAGCCAAGGGCCAAGAGTCTTGTTTTTCTGTTTCTAACGATGCTGCTGACCGGGCAAGGACAGCTAACTTACTGTGTCCATTCTCGGGAAAGGGGATTGTCGGTCAGGACGATCTATCTTCAGACCTTCAACTAAGGAGAGCCCAAAAGACAGGCTACTCCTTCGAGCCGGAATCGAACCAGCGACCTAAGGATGGCTGCAACCGCTCCTACAGTCCTCCGCTCTACCAGCTGAGCTATCGAAGGGAAGCACGACACCGTCTCCACAGAAAGCCGTATTCAGTGGGTCGGTAACCACCTAGCGGTGGGGGCTCGGCCCTGCCGACAGCACCCCATGTGCCGAAAGCTGCAGACACCCCACCAGGGCCGCCGTCCTGCCCCACCCGGCCTTGCCAGACGCAGCCAGAGCTGCCGATGCTCGCCTACGGGGTGGATGCACGCCTGCATGCGGGGACGCGCACACCAGAGATCTGAGACCGTGCGCTCCGCACCCGGACCGCGCGGCATTCTGCGCACCCAGTCTGCGGGCGGGACGGCGTGGGATGCCACGGCAGCTCGGAAACCCGGGGACTGGAGGGGTGGGATGCCACGGCAGCTCGGAAACCCGGGGACTGGAGGGGTGGGATGCCACGGCAGCTCGGAAACCCGGGGACTGGAGGGGTGGGATGCCACGGCAGCTCGGAAACCCGGGGACTGGAGGCGCGGCTTGGTGGTAGCGCCGTGGCCCAGCGTGAGGTTTTCCAAGTTCAACCTCAGATCCTAAAAATAAAAAAAAGCTCTCCTTGGAGAAAAAGCATTCTTTTTAAAAAGGAAGCCATAACCACAGCCTCTGTGAGTTCAGACCATGCTTTCTTGCCTGCTCCAGACTGTGAGGTATCGGGATCCCACGGCCCGGGAGGAGGCCCGTTCTCCTTCCTTCCTTCCCTCCCTCCCTCCCTACGCGTAACAGGCTGTAGGCAGAGACCCTGCCTTCCCAGGGTGCAGAGAACTCGGGGGGGGGGGGGGGGGGGTGAGGGACCGCACTCGAGCGCCAGGAGTAGAATTAAAAATGAACAATGGACAGAAGGCTGAGAGGTGAGCAACACCATATTTTCAGGAAGCCTCCTCAAAAGTATGCTTAGGCGTAGGCCCCAGCGAGATTTGAACTCGCGACCCCTGGTTTACAAGACCAGTGCTCTAACCCCTGAGCTATAGGGCCACACGGAAAGCGCTCTTCTCTCTTTCTTACAAAAGGATAATTTTGCTGGCTCTTCGGCCGCCCGACTGTAGGAAAAATGGCAAACTTGGATTATATTTTAGTCCATTCCCATTTACAGTATATTCCCGTATACACTCTGTTCCCGTATGCAATATGGGAATTCAATCTACAGACTCTGGGCTTGTTGGGATTGGCGTAGTGGTGGATTCTGATGGGGGTCACTACTATCCTCAATTTGTAGAAATGTGACCACTCCGACGACGACGACACCACCACCACCACCACCACCACCATCAGAGGACTCTGGTGCTTCCTTCAGACAGTGAAATCTAAAACAGATATCCAGCGTAAGGAATAAAGCCTATTACAAGTCTGGGGGGAACTGACGCTCCCACATCTGGATTTTCTCCTGGACTCCGAACTTCCGCCGCATGCCTCTTTAAAGATCCTTCCCCTCAGGTCAGAACAAGCAATCCCTAGTTCGCCATTTAATTCTTTCCTTCGTTCAACAGGCTCCGAATTCTCCAATTCCAATTCTGTGCTAGGTTCTACACTAGAAACTAGATAGGGATTCAGATTTTACTACTATTAATTTGCTTCCCTGACAATTATTTTATTTTCTTCCCTCGTACTTCTTTGTGTACCACGTGGGTGCCTGGTGTCCGCGGGATTTTTTTTTTTTCTTCAATTTTTGTGAAACCAAAAATGAAAAGCAGATGTATACCAGTTGTAACTTGCAAGTAAACTATGTGGAAGGCCCTTAGAAGGGGTGGGCCGGGGTGAGGGGGAAGTCTGACGATTCCTGGTAGAAGAAAATTATGAGTGAAGCCCGAGAGGACCAATATTTAAGGGTACACTGTTAGAACATGGTGGGTCCACCCTCCTCGAAGGGACAAGAGCCGAGACAGGCTAGGAGACAGGAATGCCGTTAGACCCTCCGGGAAAGAGGAAACGGAAATTCACGGAGCAAGGCATGCAAGGTAAACTCAAGGGAGGAGAGACTGGAGAGTTAGGACACCAGAGCCGTGCGAGCCCAAAGCCGCCGGCTACAGAGAAAAGAGTAAAAGACGCAGGGAAGCGAAGGTCTGCTGCCTTTAAATTCGGCGGACAGAAAGGAGAGGAGACTCACTCATACCTCGGTATTTGCAAAAAGGGGCAGACGTGCAGAGATGTCAGGGTTTGGGTGGGATAAATAGCAGGTGCTCTTCACAGAATACGCCTGTGTTTAGAGTCTATGGGCTAAGGTCATGATGAGGTTAAATTAAGTAAGTCCGGGAGTAGAGCTGAACGGCAGAGCTCTTTTCTGAACTGCAAAGTCTTGGGTTCAATGTTCAGGATCACAAAAATAAATTAAAAATAAAAAAAAAAGTTAAACTGGGAATAGTAAACCTCGCTGTAGGGACTGTGACCTAAGGATCCCGAGATCAAGGCCAGCCAAGGGTGCACACACACACAGAGAGCGAGACAGTCTCGATCAATCAATAAGTAAAAATTAACTTTTCAAAAGGTTACTTTCTGTTTTATTTTTTTTTCTTAGTTTATGTATGCGTGTTGTGCCTCCACGTATGTTTGTCCACCACTTGTTTGCCTGGGGGCCGGTTGAGGCCAGAAGAGGGAACCGGATCCCCTGGAACTGAAGTTATAGACAGTTGTGATCCATGTGGGTGCTGTGTAGGGGGCCAGCCCCCTCCCCACTTATTTACCCCGGAAACTCTTGAGGAATGAGGAATAAGAGACTTAGAGAGTTAAGAAGCAGAGAGAAAACACAGGATAGACTCGGGAGGGCCTGGATCCTTATCCAAACGGGCCCAGAGCTTGATTCCAAAGGGGTATTTATAACAATGCCAAGGGGTGGCACAAAAGACCTCCCCCTTGCTGATTAGACCCATACAAACACCTGGTACCCAGGCCGGTGGTCCCATCAACCTCCCATGCAGTCCTGTTGGGTACAGCCACTAGGAAACCTAGTGGGCTCCAACAGTGCCGGGTTGCTGATGAGGTACCATCTCCCCAGCCCTTAACTGTTTTTTTCAGGTGGGGTCTTTATGTAGTCCTGGCTGGCCTGGAACTCACAGAAATCAGCCTGCCTTTGCCTCTGCCTCCATTACACCTGGCTCTACAATTAATTTTTGTTTTCTTTTTAAAACATTTACCTGCTTTATTGTCTGTATGGGGGCCATTGAATGCTGCAGCTGGAGTGTGGCGTCAGAGACCAACCTTTCACCAAATGAGTCCCACCAAGCCATCTTGCCACCTTCCACCAGAGTTTTTATTATTATTCATCGTTGTTGTGTTTGTGTCTGGTAGGTTTGTGGAAGTCAGAACAACTTTGTGGAATCAGTTTTCCTTCCATCTTTATTTACATGACTTCTGGGGACCAAAACTCAGATTGCTGGGTAAGCATGCCAAGAAAAG